CAAGGCATATTTATATTTGGGTTCACTGCTGAAAGGGAATTAAGAAGTTTTTCTTCAGTTTTGATTGTGATTAAATCCAGTTACAAGCGGTACAGATTTCCAAACTTTTCCTTCCTGTTCTTTGCTGTTTTTTTCCTATGGTATTATAATTAAAGGTCAGGGAAATACAGTGATTTTTGGAATGGTGTTTCTGGTAAAACACTAGTATAGTTTGATGATCACGTGTTTACAGATGTCCTCCCTGTTCATCTTATGAGAATTGCATTTGCTCAAGTAACCTCAGGTCTTGGAATGCTGTGGTGGCATTTGTAGCATTAAAAAAAAAATGTGTCAAAGGGGTTGAACTTACAACTTTCAGTAAGGCTACTTAATAATAGGAAATTAATTTTTTGTTGAGTAGATTTTGGGATTATTGATTGACTTTCCCTATAGGCCCCTGTAGCTATCAGACTATGTTTATGGTTTTCTGAACTTTAGGGAACTTTTGAACACATTTTCTTTCTGTTTGTGTGTTAGCTAAGTGTGACCTTGAACCCTTCCTTCTTCGCAGGCCCACTTCATAAGGACTAAGTTTGGGTTCTAGGAAGAGTCTGAATTAAATCCAATCTTATATTTGATCATCTTCAGAGAGGAAAAAATAGTGGAGGTAGGGATTTTAATACCATCCAATTTTTTATCCACAAATTTTTGATAGTGGGAGTCTCTTCCAGAAGTTCTGCATGGAGTGAGGCACATTAAGTAAGCCTATAAATTTGGCAAGCTGACTTCAGCTGGAAATTACTTCCAAATAGGCTTGTGGTACTTTACTGTCCATGGAATTGCTTTGACCTCTCATAGCAAAGCTGAATGCTGGGTGTTGCTGCATGTTGTTCGCTAGATGGGCACTCATATTATTATTCAGCAAACACCATATATGCCTTAGTAGCTGGTGACTGTAAATATAAGACAGTCCCTAATTTTACCAATGAAAAAGCTCCTTAAATCTTCTTTTGGGCCGATTGGGATAGGCAAACACTTTAGGTATGTAGATAAACAAATATCTGCTTACATTGTTTATTAATTTAGTTATAAGTAGACATTGGGACTACATCAAGTATAAAGTATATTAAATCCTGTTGGGTTCATGAAACAATTTTTTTCCCCATACTCTTCACTGGCATCTTTCTCACCAGGGTTTGGTTTGTCACTGAGTCACTTGGAATCGTCTAACCTGGTTAGCAGAGCCTCTCAGCTCTGCTTTCACCTGAGCCATTTGAGATGAGGCATAAGTTACAAGTACCCACTGCCTAACGTTAGGACTGTTGGTCTCTTCATTTGCCTGTTGGCAAGTACTTGTCATTATGTGTTGCTTCTTAAAGTGATCTTTAAAAAGTCCTGTTTTAATAGCACTGTCCAACCATTGAAGTTGCTAAATGTGTGCTGAGTTTCCCAGCGGAACTTGTTTGTTTTTTGTGTTTAGTTTTGCAAGGTGACTCCTTTAACACCACTAACTAGCACTGATGTTTCAGGGCAGCATGTCTTTGAAAGGGTTTTGCAGTCCCAAATTGAGTAATTCAAAGACTACTTCTTGTTTATTTTGTCAATTATATTTCAACAACAACAACAAAAAAGTCTAAAAGAAAAAAAATCAAAGACTACTTCTTTTTTTAAAAAGATTTTTATTGGGGAATTGGGGGGATGGGAACAGCGTTAGGGAATTGGGGAAGGGGAACAGACAAGTTGCTGTCGTTTTGGTCTTCAGTCTAGCTGTGGAGGACGTTGCCTCACTGGCCCAAGTTGGCACCATCACTGCGCTCTTCCCGGGCGAGGCAGATCAGTTGCTGTCTTCTGGCTGGCCGCTCACCGCTGCTGCTGGCCATTCAC